AGTTTGTCTGCTTCCACTGAACTCTGCATAAAACCCCCACAATGCTGTTATAGTGCATAGCTAATTTAACATCTGAATTGCTTATCAAGGTAAATCCCCTAGCTGAACATTCACCACCGCATGAGCATTTTGCAGGTTAGAGGCACCTACTCACGCTTACCCATTTCTTGCCTTGTTTCAGTACTCAGTGTATCTGCTTGACATTAGGCCAGCACTGTTATCACTAAGAGAAAGTTAATCGGTTTCTTGAGAATGAAATTAGACCATGTGTTTTCATCTCATGTCTTAATTATAACCACAGTCAGGCAAAACCAGTTTACTGAAGTGTTCAGCATTGCTGGCATTAAAACCTAGTTTCCTGTTTTTTCAATGTTTGTCAACCCCTTTTTTAAAAAAAAAAAAAAGTATCAGAGATTGGTCTTCACAGTGAATTTGGTAAAGGGAAGAATGAGGGAAAGCCTGACTTAAAATAGGTAATTCTTTTCTAGGGACAAGGCTAAGAAAAAAAAAAAAACCACAACATTATTTTGTCTTTTTAAAAAATGCCACTAACTTTTTATTTAAATTGATCTGATGATCCAGTCTTAGGAGCAGAGACCTGATTTCTTGCAATAAAAGGACTTATTCATCAGGGATGAGCCATTTGCCACTCAAAGAAATGTCAGTCCAAACCTACTGCTATTTGCATTTGTGGATAGAGATTTTTTGCCTGCCATACAAGAAATATGCTCTGGTTGACCTGAAACTGCCAAGAGTCAGATTAAATACTTCCACCTGTCTTCAGGGTGAAGGCAAGCAGCAATACCAATTCCCCCTGTTGCCCAGTGGCTCAGGGAGGTGTCATGTACCCAGTGTTGATGTTCCTGCCTCTACCATGGAAGGCCAGGTGAAGGCAGGGACAAACCTACCTTCCCTTTACCCTTCTAGGTGATGTAGGGAAACCTGCAAGCTATGCTGGAGCACAGAGTGCGAAGAAGGAGTCTTTCAGTCCCTCTTATTCAAAGTCTGGTGCTTAAATAATTTTTTATTATTTAAGGGTAGGAGGGAAAACACCAAGGAATTAGGTTTCATCATAAACTAACAATGAGAAATCTTACTGAGGCTATTCCAGTTAAGAGTTAAACATTTCTGAATAGGGTAGGTGAGACTCAACATGCAAGGTTGGGAGCACGATACCCTGGACCATACTATCTGGTGATATTGGATGTAGAAAAAGAGCCTGTGTCTCCTCACATCCCAAAATACTAACCAAAGGTTCCTTAGTTAAAAGGCATGAGGCTATAGCACTGTCTCCTTGTTCTTTACTTTGTGCCCTTTGTTTTTTATGCTTCCAGTGCTGCAAGTTTTCTAATGAGTAAAAGTGCAGGTGATTATAATATTTTCAGGTTAATAAAAAGAATTTTAAAAATCTGCATTTTCTCACAGATCAAACCACTTTTACTGATTTTTTTTTGTTCTTATACTAAACCAGAACAACATCCAGAGATGGAGTGAATTGCCATCCTGTAACTATGTGCTCCCCACAGTGTGATGGAGTATGTTCCATCCCCTTACAGAACCAATATTGCCCACTGGTTGCAACTGTGCGGGGTGATCCAGAGTGGGTTTGCTGCAGCCCAGACCTGTAGGGCAAAGCTGGACATCCAATTCCAGCTCCCCACTGGTCCAAATCAAGATGGGAGGCAAAAATGACATAATGACTTTGTAAATGAAAAAATGGAACTTGTCCCAGTCTCATAGTTTTAGTGCCCTTTGTCTTGCTGTCAGGCATTGTAGAAGAGGGGAATATCAGTGACTTGGAAAGAGCCTGGTGTTACCTGAGTGGCAGCTGAGGCTTGGTGATGATTGCTGGCAGCTAAAGTTGGAGAACACTCCACTTCAACGCTGGGGAGACTGTGGATGCAGAACAGATTCTATGGGAGATGGGAAACTGGGAGCTGAGAAGCTGCATCAGGGAAGCAATTCAGTCAGTCAGTTCATTCATCAGCACTACTAGAGTAGAAACAAACTGGGATCTGGAAAATAAGTGATGGAAAAAACACCAGCACCTCCTAGGACCTAAAATAAGGGGTGAGAAAAGGAAACAACTGGAGAAAAAAAGATCAAGTAAAGGAAGAATTGGCATGGGGATAGAAGGAGGCTTAGGGAAAGGCTACAATGAGGAGCCAGAAAATGGGAAGGTGAAGACTGTCAACAAAATGTCCAATATTACAAATTTTGAAGTGATGAAGACTTAGTCAAAAGGGTTAGAAGAAGACTGGAACTTGGTAAAGCAAGGAAACAAGAGCTTAGTGGCAAAGCTTGAGGAATGGAGATTGAACGCTGAAGACAACAAAATTAGAGGGATAGGAAGAAGCAAGTGCAAACCTGAACAAGGAGGACTGGGGAATGAAAAGGGGAAAACGTGAAGCAGTGGGCATAGACATCGTGTGCCCCACTGCACAGTCTGTGCTTGAGCATGGTTTGCTGTTCCAACTCATTGAGTTTTGGCATTTCTACACCAGAGATAGAATGTACCCATCACCTTTGTCCCACACTTCTATTGCTCTCCCTGAGACTGAAGAACACTAAAGTCACTAAGTGTGATACAGAAGAATGCCTGTTTCCTTCACCTAATACATTTGTCCTGGAGAGTCAGAGAGAAAAGGACATCCCTCACATGACCAGGACCTCCACCTTGCTTGCTGTCTTGGTCTGAAGCTGCAGGATGAAGAGAGATTGCACCAAGAACAAGCACAGCATGTGGTGAAGGCAATCACATGCTGCCCTGGGAAACTGTGCTTATTCTCCTCTTTGCCACAAAATTTCTGTGTGGTGCTGGAAAATTTTTTGAAACCTACCTTGTCAGAGGTAATGACTGACTGGGTGCTCCTTGTGTTACGCATGTGTGGGTGGAGATTTCATGTCTGACGTGAACGAGTGCTGAGTTCTCACAGCAGAAGCTGAGGTAATACACACTGGGCTTTGGAGACAGAAAGTCGAGTATTAAACAAACTGAGAAATGAAGTCCTAAGGAGTACAAAAAAGTAATGGAAAGTTTTGACCTTAATCACTTTGGGCTACAGTTCCCTATGTGTAAAATGGAGATTGTACCACCCCCTCATGCTGCAGGGCTTACCAATAAAGGTTAGCTCTCATTCAAAGATACTCAGATGCTTTGGTGATGAGGCAAGACCAAGAGTCCCTGAGTAATTTTATTTTTAGAGCCGTGTTTGATGAGTAGGTAAAGTGTGAGGCTAAGCACTGAGCAAAGAGCAGGACATGAATGCCCAGAAAGCTGCTCACCAGATAATTGGCTTTGCAGCCTGTGCATGCAAAGAGATGTCAGTGGAGTAGGAAGAGTCATTGTGAGAGCATGAAAAAACTCTTTCCTAAGGTAATTTAAATTTTACAATTTTCTGTCCTGAGTGTTTGGTTTGTAAATGCCCAATAAACATTTTTGTGTGCAGTATAAACGTGTTGGCAAGATGTTTGGTGAAGCAGATATTTCTCTCTGCCTATAATGTGTGATTAGTGATGCTTTCCTCATCATAGAGTAGTACACTGTGTTGGTGAATAATTTTGATGTTAATTTGATTATCTTAATTAATATGTTGGTGTTCATGATAGTAGGATCCTAGAAAAGCAAGCATCATGACCATTTTATATATCTATTCTATCAATATTTGAAATGTGCATTGAAGAGTTGGAAACAAACCCTGTATCCCTGGTTCTTGCTCTTTTCCCTAAAGATGAAACAAGGCATGTATTGTTGTTCCAGTTGCATTGAGTGAGAAACACTGCATAATTAAACAGGTCTGCAGTTTACCTTGGAGTCCAATGGTTGTCTCACCATTTAGCATAACTAGAGCCAGATCTGGGATAAATAATTATTTAGGAACACTGAGCATAGCAGAGAAAAAATACAGATCTGATATAGAAGGAAGGCTAAATGAACCTTGATTTCACAAGAAGATGGATGGTTATGATTTGATGGAATCAAAAGAGCTTTTGTTATCAACAGCTGAAATGCAGGGACATGGATGAGGAGTCTGGCTTTGGAACTAAAGGCAGTTTCCTAGAACTAACATTTACCTGTATGTTAATGAGGAAAGGGGTGCTCCTTTCAATTGCAATGAGAGTGTGTGGAATCCCCTCTGATAACTGATCATGAAACTGTCACTGATAGTTTTAAAGTCACACATTTGGTGGTTTGTTTTTTAAAAATTTCTGTGAGTCACAGGAATCTGTGAGGCCACTTGTGAGCAGGGGAAGAAAAAAGAAACCCTCTACAATGTAGGTCAGTAATTCTCAAAACAGTCAGTGGAGAAAAAATAAAAGCCCCTACTATACGTCCTTGCAGTAATCACTATTTTGGGTACAGAAACATTTAATTTCTGAACAAAAAAGAACCCACACCCTTGTTTTCTTCTACACCATAATTTATTCCAAATGTCATTACAGTCTGTAGATTCAGAGAAATGAGTCTGACAGCATGTAGAACATTTATTAACATTTAGTAACATCTTAAAGCTAAATAGACACAATTTTCTTGTTGTTTGTCTTCACTAGTGGCTTCTCTTAGTCTCAGACTTGAGTTTTCTCTTTCATATACTCTGCATTCACAGCAGGAAGTGCAATGTCTTTTCTATCCTTTTTTTAAAAACCTCTTATAATGTTTAAAAATGTAGGTTAAAACTAAGGCCAAGCTTTCTTTAATTTCAATGTGAAAATAATGAATAAAAGGTAAATTAAGAGATTGTGCTGTTTCTTGCCTGGTCTTGTGCTGCAGCTCTACCTACAGCTGAAATTGTGAGCCTGACATCAACTACTAGAAAATGTTTAATATTAGTTATTCTTTGAGCAGAAAATAATGTAGGCCTTGACCTGTAATTTTTCTTCACTAAAAGCTCCTTCTCTCCAGTCTCATGTATCTCCTTTCGACGACTGATTCTCTGCTGTATTTGTTGTTTTGGCTTTTTAGGATTTGCTCGCAGCAAGCGCTCTCTGTAAGGGTTGGTACCTGTGGCATGAAGGAAGCAATGAGTATCAGGAGCTCCTGAGAGGTGGCTTGGGATCTGGAAGAGAGCACAGAAACAGTAACACAGTTCAAGGAGGTATTAAGTTCAAGGAGGTATTCATCTCAAGCCATTAAGGGCCCTATTAATGAGGTTTTATCACATATATGTTGTTAGGGAGCTTCTAGATTATCTGGTTAAATGTCTGGAAGATTATCTTTCTGGCATACCTTCTCCAGCAATAATTTTTTTTTTTTTTAAGGATTCAGCAGCAGCACAGCTGATTTTAGTTATTTATGGTGTTGTTTCTAACACAGTACATTTGAACATTTGGTTTATAATCTGGAAGGACATATCTGTTTGTTATATTAGCCTACTGCATGCAAACACATGAACTTTGGCCCTAAACCCTAATTTTTAAAGAACAGTGAAAAAAATTAGGAGGCAGGTCAGTGTAGGTAGAGTTCATATCTTATCTGAACAGCTGATAGAGCTGGAAAAAACAGAGGAAAATTGAATGCACAAGCTCTTCCTCCACTTTTAAATAGAAGATTCTGTTTTCAAATGATGAGGCATATTTGCATGTTTAAGAGACAACATCTTTCACTGAGAAATTTAAAAGGCACAAAATTTTAAGCTGAAGGAAGACCAGCTTGGTTTTTGATAGGCATTTCCTAAAGAAGAAGGGCAAGGTGCTCATGGTAGAAAAAGTCGAACAAACCCCAGTGGCTGGAGATCAAAACTACACAAGCTCAAATGAGAAGTTAACTGCTCATAACTAAATTACAGTCAATCATTATCAAGACAAATACAAGATGAAGCCAAGATCTCTTGAGTGTCAAATCAAAACAGGACAGCTCTCTGGATGAAAAGTGTCAGCCAGACACCACTTGAATGCAGGTAACTGTATTTGTGCAGGGGTGACTAGGAGACTGGTAGCACTGGGATCGTTGAAGGATTGGATTGTGTTTACATATGCTTCTATGCTGGAGTAAAGGACAAAAATTATGCTGATTGAAGTTAGGTCTTTTTTAATAAACTGCTTTTAAAGCCAAAATTTTATGATTCCGTAAGAAGTCTACCCCTAATTTACAAAGTTACTTGCCAAAAAAATCTTGGGTTACCTGAGGAGCTAAGTGACTCTTTTTGTATCTGTTTTTTGTTTTATTTTCCTTAATTTGGACACTGACTGTAGCAAGTAAGAGGCTGTTGAAATGTGGATATTTCAAACATGTCCTGAAACTGGGTTAGCCCAGGTGAAATAGAGCTGTGTGTGTAGTCATTGAATAGGAAGTCTCTTTACCAACATCAACAGCCTCCTAAAGGTAGTGAAACATCATCCTGTGAACCCATTCAAAAAAGGAGACATAGCTCTTCCCTGTGGGGACAGTATCCACAGAGCACTTATGGGTCATGAGATGCACTCACTTCCATGCAAACAAAATGGCCAAATCGGGTAATGAACATCCTTTTGCAGTTATGTTTTAACTGAATGAGGCGTACACAAAAAGAGCAATAGCCTCCTTTGGAAGTTATATAGAAAAATTATTTTATATATAAGGTAATTATTTTTTAAATGGCTACCTTTGCCACTCAGATAATCTTATTGTTTACTTTGGGGTGTCATATTTTCTATGTACTGGACACCCAAAAGAAACTCAAGGAAGGGCACTCATACAGCACTGTAGAAGAATCTGCTTGGTTTTAAGTACCACTCTAAAAGACTTCACCAAACAAAGGCAAGTGAGGTGATCAGTCACTTTTGAATGGTTTGCCTAACAAAAGAGTGGACTTATGAGTGCACATTGGTCTGCATTACTCCTGAGTTGCTGAAACACTGATCTCTATGGTTTTCTGGCAGAAGTGTTTGATACTGCTTCAAGCCTTTAGCATTTCCCTGCCTAGCAGTCACAAGAAAGGCTAGTTTTATCTTGTGAGGGTTGCCTCTGGCCAGTACTGTGGCAAGGCTGCCATGGCTGGAGGGAGAACACACATGATCCTCCTGCTACTATTTTACCACTGAGAATCTGCTGCTGTTATGTGCTGCTGTTACATGCTTGAAAAATTGCACAGTAAATCAGGTCAGTGATGTTGCATCATGGCAACCCATGCTAGGTTGCATAGTTGTTTTCATCATGGCTTTAAGCAACAGTGCTTTTCTCCTAGTAGGTGCATGTTTAGGGAATTAAGAAAGTTAAGTGCAACATGCTGATCTAGGAAAGAAGGTCAAACCACTTTCATCCTTTCCTGTCTCCCCTTTTTCTCTGAGCATTTATGACTTTCTCTTCAAGTAACAGTAGTGCTGCTGCAGACTTTCAATCTCTCTTAACCTCATAGATTCTTTTCATACCTGTCAGTGGCCACAACAGACTAGCTATTGCTTAGAGACAGCTGTTGACATCCAACCCATTTTATTTGCCTTAGCTACATGATCAGTGTACCCCAAAAGGGATTTTATCTGCTTCACTTGCTGGCATAACTGCTTCAAGAGATGGCAGATTGCAGTCATTGGTATGTTGTGTTTCTGGTCTGTTTCTGAAGTCATCAGTACGTCTTCTGCTATCTGTTCAGTGGAAAGGCCCATCCTTGCTTCTCTGGGCTGTAGCAAAACTGTATGCTAAAGATACGTGCATGTGGTAACGAAGAACCTCTGTGGAAAAGAAAAACCACTATATTCTTAGAAATAGATGGCCTGTGCAAGTGGTGAGTGGAATGGTCAATCATATCAGCCCACTTTGACTACCAGATGTGGGAGGATGTGGCCATGCTAGTGAACATTTATATAGGTATAGGCTATTTTAATGATGCTTGACTGCTTTCTTCTAAGCAATAGCTTCTCTCTCTCTTTTTTTTTTTTTTTTTTTAGGAGGGGAATGCCAGACTTGACTAACAAAGACGAGAGCAGACTAAAAGTTTCCTTAACAGGAAGCCACTAGCTCTCCACTTAGCAGTGGGGACGAAAAGCCTTTAAAAATGTTCAAACTTTCTTATGCAAATTTCAGTTACACACAAGTTTTGGGAGAACTTCTTCAACAGTGAGTTGAGCTGTCTCTCAGTGACTATAAATGCACAGTACACAAAACTGTGTGCAGCACAGCACAGAAGTCTAAAGGTGAGGGTGCTTTCAGGTCTCCCAGTGTGTTGTTCCACTGTTTCCAAACAATCTAGTTTTGGCTGAGGGTAATATATTTTCTAAGAAAAGCATTAAAAGAGCTTTAAAGCAAAAATAGAGCATTTAAAGACAAACTAATGCAGTCCCTCTAGAGCAACATGACAGTTTTTCAAATGAAGGCATTTATTATGGTTGTAGTCAGATAGTTTTTGACTGATTGAAATACCTGCACATACAATTACCATTATTAGGAAATGTCCCAGAGCCCTGTCAGAGATCAAGGATGCTTTCTAGCTGCCCTTCTCACATACATCAAGGAGATAATTTTTATCTCCAGACTGTTCTGCCTTGGACTTGGGAGCTATATGCATACTTTCTTTGTAGCCTTGGTGATGCCAGTCACATGACACAAAGATAAGCAGATGAGCAGTGACTGAAGCCTTGTTCAGTGGTGAGATACCATCAGAGGGTAAAGCAGAAAGAGTGATAAATGAGAGATAGGCCATTGTTAACAGATTGTCTTCTCTCACCAGTCCTCATGGTAAAATGGATGTGAAGTAGTTCTGCTGAGGTAAGGAGCCACTGCAGCTGCTATAGTGGCCTTCCTAGAAAAGCAGTGATGGTACCAAGATCTCTTCCCTGGACCTCTGTCTGTCTCTTGCAGACAGCCACAGAAAATCTTCGTGTAGGTTTCCACTGGATTTTGTGGAACAGCCTGTAGAGAGCAAGGGTCTTGGTGTGTGTTAGACATTGCCTTGTAACTACACTGTCTGACACACACCTCAGAGCTGAAGATCATCGTGTGCCTGGCTCAAGGGCTGTCAGAGAGACCAGCCTGTGGCTGTGCCTATACATTGGAGAGAGCTGCCTGTGGCTGAGGTATCTGCCTGCTCAAAGCAGGTACAAAGGCTCAGGATAGTGTTGCTGCATGAGCTAATGCTTCAGGGTAAGAAGTGCAGTCTGTCATTTTTGGTCTGGGACCAGTTTCCTCAGCTCAACCCCTTCACAGACCAAAGGTATGGTGTTAAATCATGGCTATACATCTTCACAAGGACTGTCTGCCTACTCACCAGCTCTTGGTGTGCAAGACCTGAGCTATATCCTTGCTTCTGCTATGGTATCCCTCTGACCGAGTTTCCTCATCCATCAAGCATGGATAGGGGTGCTGCTCTCCTTTGTGAAGTCTGTTGCTGTGTGAATGAAAGCAGTGCAGAAGGGAGAAAATTTTGAGAGGGTAGAACTCAACGCTGGCCTGCTGCAGCTTATGGCATGCTGCTGTGCTGTGAGTAGAGAGTGACAGCTGTAATCCTTGTCAGATAAGGGGGGAGGAGGTCTCTTTGCTCACTTTGCTCCTCTTCTTGAGGAAGCAAGCCCTTTTATCTATGTGGCTGACACCTGAGAGAAATTACCATTCTCTAGGGAACTGAAAGTGCTTTTTGGTACATCGGAGAATTTTTTTCCCTAATAGAGAAGCACAAAACTTTTTACCTAGAAATAACCCTGGCCAAATAAACTATCTCTAGCCATCCACAGCCTTAGGTTATCACACAGCCGCACATGCCACACACCAGCAGATAAAGTGCTTTGGGCCCTGCTGGAGACTGGGAGATGGTTAAGGAAATTCCTGGGTACTACAGATGGCAGCAGTGGAAGGAATTACTCAGGAAGCAACAGGGTTTTTTTTTTGACTCAATGCTGATCCTTTACCTCTGCCTGTTGTTAGACCAGCTGTGCTGTGCACAGTCACTATCTTTCTCATGGTGCTTAAAACTGACATTTTGACACTTTTTAGCATCAGCAGATGCTACAGCGCTGTTTGCAATATCAGATTGAGATCAGTTTTTTATGGGTCATGACAGACAAGATAAGCAATTTGGGCATTCATTCTGTCCTACCCCTGCCCTAAGACCAGGCCTTGAAAACTTCAGCTGATTGCGACAGATACCCCTATTACCTGTTCTTATACACCTGCAATGATAGGGCTTTCACACTTGCTGTTGGCAATCTGGTCCAGCACCTCCTTAGTTTTGCTGACTGGAGGTGTCTCCTTACATTTACATTGCAGCTCTCTAACTTGTGCACTCTGCAGCTGGAGCCAAGCAGTATAAACATCATTTGGCACCAAACACTTCCACTTTGCAGAAAATAAGCAACTTATTATTTTTCCTATTAAAGAAATGTGGGGAAATTAGGTATTCGTAGTGCAAATAACTAGTTTCAGAATTTGCTGTCTGTCTTTATAATAAAAAGCCAGCTAGGAGAATCCACCACTGCAGGTTGGATGTCTCAGGTGCCTCTGTGCCCTGACCTGCACTTAGGACCAGTGACAGCACCAAGTCTTAAACCCCATACAAATGGCACAAGCTGTGACTGCTGCTGGTACTGATAGTAAAAGATTTTAAAATCATGGAAAATTCGGGGAGTTGGAGAGAGGGCTGGCCTTGGTGGGCCCTGGGAAAATGTTAGAATGAGCCCTGGGAAGCATTGGGCCTTGTGTTGGCCAGATCATGTGGGATTGCACCTGTGTGGCCAGTGTATGATGGATGATGTAATTGTTGGATGTGATGATTGTTTAGATATAATTGTTGTTTGGTTGTGGGAAGAGTCATGAGAAACTGTGTTCGGGGGTTTGTGGGGGGGGCGGATCACGGGAAGCCTGTGCTTGGATGAAGTCAATGTATACAATAGAACAATGTAAGTTTAATGATTGGTATGTAAGTTATGTAACGATGGAATATAAAAACATGTTCGTCCTGGGCCCATGGCGGAGTCAGATTTGGGTCTGTACACCTGACAGCCAGATCTCTTCAATAAAAGCACCTGCATGTAATCATTCTGTGATTATGTGTTCCTGAACGCTAACAGTACCAGTCCTGGCAGGGGCCAGTTCAATCAGCAGGGCTGCAAAGTCTGGCACCACTTCACTCTGGCATTTCACAGGTCTGCAGCAGAGCTGGAGGCCGCTGTGATGGAGGTGGGTTGGCACATATGTGGGCAACTGAGTCAGTCTGCGGGTGGTGGGAGGCTGGCGCTCACATTTGGTGACCTTGTTCCACCCCCAGCCGTACCTGAGCACTCTCTCACTGTGTCCTGGGCGTGTTTCTATTCTTGGTTGTGCGAGGAACAAGTGGTTCCTGACAGACTTCAGTGGTTTCACCTGTACTGGGCAGTGGCATTCAGTGTGTGCCCTACACACATCATCTGGGTGATCCTGGTGGGTGCTGACACCAGCTGGGGCTTGGGGCACAGCCAAGGCAGCACAGTGAGACAATGAGTGGCACAGGGTAGCCTGGAAAGCCACATTCCTACCATGGTAACACCATAAAAGATTTTAAGGACTTCCTGCAGAAGCAAACACAAATGAGGTTAAGATCTCTTTCAAAAGCCTTCAAAGAACTTCAGAGCAGCTCCTATGCTTCCTCCTGTCCCATGAACTTATATTTTAACTTCACTGTTACTAACCAGACAGTTAAGCAAAGAGCTGGATACTGAATAAATTAGAACAGATCCACTGAAGTCAACAGCACAGCAAAGTTATTTTAGTGGTACCCAGGGTGTGGTACAAGCATCAAATTAAAAATCAATTTATTATCTGTGGATAAAAATTCATGGTGTTGGTCCTCATTTTCCCATACTATCCCATTCTGCTAAAAATGCCAGCAGACAAATTTCTCATGCTTCAGCATGGATGGGTCTGCAGTTTTTGCTGCTGTGGGTCATAATCAGCAGTCACTGCCTGCAATTGCCTTATAACTTTTCTCTTTCAAGGGTGGTCACTGTACTTCCTCCTTACCCAGCAAAATTCTGTCCTCAAGTATCAATTTCAAACATGTGCATGTATCATAAGTCCACTTGTATATTGATTCATTACTGTGCCTCTGCTTAATTTACCAAAAATTTTGTTTAGCCAAACTCTTATAATTGCATAATAGCAGAAAAAATGCAAAAGAATACCACTTGCATCATTTATACTGCTCATTTACCAATATTCCTTGATGCATCTATTTCTTGTGTACCAAGTATGTGGCAATTTCATACAAATTGACTGCCACTTCCCTGAAAGTGACTTTTAGCTATATGAACCAGGGGAAAACACTATTATTTTCCATTTTTATTTTTCATTTCCCAACAACAACCAATTTAGTTCAAAACTGATATTTCATAATAGCTGAAGATATTTTCTACCAGACTCTCCTGATGAATTTTTACTGTAAGACGGGCAACACTGGACAGATGGAAGCAGATAATTTCCACTAAGAAAGGTCATCAGCCCTATTGCAAAAGCGGCCAGTTCCAGCGGGACACATAATGACTAATTTTTAATGTATTTTTTTTTCAAGTCTGTTGGTTTGCTCATTTTTGTTCTACACTGACTTTGTACATTTGCAACTGTTTTGACAATAGCTCCAGCACTTCTGAAGGGCAGCTGTTTTCTGCTCTGCTCTGTTTCTAATAATTGCCTAAAAGCATTTTAATTTTAAGGGCATGTAGTCCTTCAGATAGAAATGTCAACTCTAAAGTAGAAAACGCTTTTTCTCTTTTTTTGGTTAACCCATTTTTGACCTGGCAAACATAGGTGTGATTTTTTTTTTTTCAGCTACAGTGAAGTTTGTTGATCTTGCTTCAGCTGAGGTAAGTGGCTGATCTCATGAATATTGTTTTTACAGGAGTGAGACTCTGCTGACGTCCTTTGGCTTCCTGTTCAGTGAGGCTGTGCTCGGCATCCTCGGATTTAGGCACCATGTGAATTTTCTTAGACTTCACCCTCCAGACCTCATTTTGTTTCATCAGCCCTTCCCTCCCTGTGAGTAATTGTGATCACATCATGTGGTGGCTGCGGGGAAGGAAGGTCCCTTCGGCTGCAGCCCTTTCGGTGGCAGCACGTGGGTGAGGTAGGTGTCTGTGGGAAGGACAGGGAGCAGGTTTCAGGCAGTTTCTGGTGGCATGTAAGACATGCAGTGCGTAGTGATTCACCCCCTCAGCACCATTATACCTTCAGATTATGAGTGGGTGAATCCTGTAAGGTCGTAGGCACATTATAAAAATAAACACAGACCTCTGAGGTAGATAGGTTACTGGTGAGGGGGCAGTAGTGTGGATAAATCAGATAATTCCTCTTTTTCATAAACACCGAGAGCAAAATCAACTGTTCTTATTGCCAGGCTCTAAGGTTTGCCTCCTCTTTGCATTGCTGGCGTTAGTGTGCAGTGCATGTCTCTGACACCAAGGAGACGTCCTGCCTATGTGAAATTTTTTGAGTGCATGTGAAGGTGCTGAGTGCTGTTTTCTGGTGCCAGACCACAATAATAACAGTGGGGTAGCAAGGAACTTCTCTGAGACTTACTGAGACCAGAATTAAAGGTCATGCATGCCCACACTTTTGTTTTGAGATATTAGTTAGGGAGGGAAGTAGATGGAGGGGAGAGATTATCCCCCTCCACTCAGGGCTCATCAGAGCACATCTAGAACACCATGTCCAGTTTCATCCTCTCTCCCTCAAATACAGGGAGACTGGGGCATGTTCAACAAGATGTTAAGGGCTGGAGCACTAACCCTGTGAGGAGAGGCTGAGGGATTTTGTCTAGTCCAGCCTGATGCAGAGAAGTCTTTGGAAGGACCTAAGAGAAACCCCCCAGCGTGTACAAGGGACCGGAAAGAAGATATTGCCAGAATCATCACAGCACCACACATTGGGAGGACAAGCAACAGGGGACTGAAGTTGAAACAAGAGTCTGGTGCTGGATATAAGGATACACTTTCCCAAGGAGAGAGAGTCAAGCACTAGACTGGGTCACCCAGTGAGGTTGTGCAGCCTCTGTTCCTAGAGTTTTTCAAGACTGGTCAGACAGAGTCCCAGGAGACCTGGTCTGATCTTAAAGCTGTGTCTGCTTTGAGCAGGAAGCTGGAGTAGGGACTTGACATCCCTTCCAGCCTGATATCGTGTGATCCTGTGTCTAGGTATCCCATACATGGAGGTCATGGAAAGTTTTAGGTGAAGCTTTTGGGTGAAGGGTTGAAAAGATTAAAAAGAATGCATTTTAAGCCGTCTCTCCAGCTCTGACCAACTGATTTCACTCCAGTCCAGCAGCAGTGATACTTCCTCTGATTTCTCTAACCATGATTAGGCATTGGGTTCATGCACATCTTGTCCTGGCAGCTCAGAGGACAGGGTGCTGAGCAGATGGGATAGGGTGCCCACTGCCTGAGGAGATTCTAATGCTAAAACAGGGTTTAATCAAGTGGGATTGGCTGAGCCTTTGGGATGCATTGTAGCCTTAGAGACAGGAACAGGAATCCATCTTTGCCCAGCAAGATATACCCAGTGGGATAGCTTGGCAAGTAAGCTGTTGATAGAGATACAATGCATGTAACATTGGCCAATTTTGACAGTTTTAATCCCCACAGAATACAAAATCAATATCATACCACAGCATTAAAATCATTTCCCCAGAATACAAAATCTCCTCTTAATACAAAATCAATATAATGAAAATAATTGCAATTATTTGTGGTATTTCACTTTCCAACCTAAAATTAGTTGTGTGCAAATTCATCACCGAGACTAGGGCACTCATGTTGCCTGTGGGGCAATCACTGTTCTCACAGTGCCACTGTATCATACTTTTTCCTTCCTTCCTTGCAGATCAGAAATTTGGTGTCTCTTCCTTCCCTATGGATCCCAGTGCTGAGAAGCCAGCAGCAGTCAAGAGAAGTCACATTGTTTGTGTGTTGGTGGTTTTCTTATGAATGCCGGAATTACCACAATTGTATGAATAATTCATTCATGAAAATGATGCTTGAAAAAGAAAAGTACTCTTCTATTATTCTTGGAAATTGTTAACCCAGTTACTTTTTTTGCCTTTGCTGTGGTGGGACCTGGCAGTGGCTGCCACTGAGAGCCAGCAAGTTCATCTCAGTGAAAGTTAGTGAGTGGGGGGGCAGGAAAGATGCAGGCCCTTCCCTGCTGTCACTGATGGCTTTTGTGGGTGTTCTCAGAAAGTCCTGCCGGGCGTCCCGGGTGACTCACCGGCAGCTGACTGAAGGCAGGCAGGAGGCCAGCAGCCCCTGCACAACTGGAAAGTACACAGCCATCCCAGTCTGTGCCAGAAAAAGGAGAAGATGACATGCAGCGATGTGTCTGTCTGCCTGTCTTGTCTGTCTGTCACAATGCTAGAAAAAACAGTTCTTTGTAGGATGTATGGAAGCTTAGTGCTGTGAAGTCAACTTTGTTCTTGCAAGAGGGACTGTTGGATGGTCAAGTAGAAGGGTGAGGAGCTATTGCAGGCTTTGTTCAGGCTTCTTGGCAAACAAAACTTTCTAGGACATACATGGTGTTTCACAGGTACAGCGTAGTATCGTTTTAGGGCCAGGGTCAAGTTTACTCAGTCAAAACTACCCACTCCTCTTGCTGCTTTCTGCAGGCAAGTGATGGATACCCAAAGGGATAATGCACATGGTAGGGGTGTAAAATAAAGTCTCATTTCCTTCACTGGGGGCTCTGAAGAGCACATTTGGATAGCTCATTCTGCAGGTTCACCCTGGAGCTCATGAAGCCTTTTTCCTATGGAGCTGTGTCTTCAGTTTTTGTGACAGGCAATCTCTGACTGGAGGTCTTCTTGTGTTGGGCTTCTTTATAAGATGCCCCTTCTCTGTGGACTTGCTGGTGCACAAGGAAGGCTATCCTTCTTCCTCCACCCCTCGGGCCACTCACCCAGACAAACTCTTCTTGTAGATCTGGAAGAATTTAATTTTCTTCAAAACTCCTATCTATCCTTGAGATTCATGGTTGGCTTTGGCAGGGTATTTCTGTGAAGGGAGAGGCAGGGAGGACTGGAAGGTCAGGAAGAGAAACAGACACAGATTCCTGGCACTTTTTAAAAGAGTCAAGATGAATGGCTTCAGAGGGTGACCCCAGGTGGGATCTTGTTGCCGCCCCCAGAACCCTGCCTAGATAGAGCTGCAGTTCGCAGTCCACCAGCAGCATGTGCCTGTGGCTTACACTAACAGGCCTTACCATGGCCCAGCCTGGACACCCCAGACCTCTGTCTGACACTGGTTCCCTCACCAGGCATGATCCTGACCCTCACCCACACGCCTGTATCCTGTCCCCTTTCCTGGGGAGTTTCCCAGTGCTGAATCCTTTCCAGTTCCTTCCTGGCCATGGATGCCTCAGGCTCTTTAACCAGGACGGGTCACTGGTACCTGTCCCTGCAGTCCAGCTGCAGCTGCAGCTGAGCCAAGCCATGGTATTTCAGAGAGCACCCTCCCCCCAGCCCCAGCTCCCACTGACACCTAAGTTATTCATCAAAGACAGGAAAAAAGCCTTCCTGGTTTCAAGCCTCTGGGGAAATGCTGGGGCATGGCTTCAGCCTGATAAAAGGCAGAGCAAATGGTGATTCAATTTTGAATAAAAGGCAGAGCAAATGGTGATTCAATTTGATTCAAAGCCCTTGGCAAAGGGCAGAGACTGCTTGGCTTTACCTCTTTTTACCTTGAAAGGGTATTTCTCCACCACATCACATCCTGTGAGGGACAAGAATACACATCCTCCTTTCCCAGGGCCAGAAGTGGGAGGGTTTTGTGAGGGAAGTCCATTGAAATGTACACAAAATCCACAGCACTTCTCTCCAGCTAACAAGTACCATTCAGCCGCTGTACCATGATCCAGACTGCATGGAAAATGCTACAAACTTCTTTCTGGGGGTAGGAATTGAGGTAATTCCACTTCCAGTGGGCAAGGTAAAGAGGCCTGCTGGAGTACAACAGTTGCCCTTGCTGATGAACACCTTGAGAGCCCCACAAGTGGTGCTCAGGGGACAAGTCTACAAGAAGTTTACATAACAGGACTTCAGGCTGGAGGGTTGAATCACCACTTATGTCACTGTCCTAATATGGGCAGGATGTAAAACTCTGGAGTTTAAAGAGGGAACTGACACTAGTGTATAGGGATGAAAACAATGAAGTGTTCCCTTTTTTTTCAGTAAGAGTGCCTGATCTCCACCTGAAAGACAGAGTTTTTCAGAGTGCAGGCACATGTCTTATGTGGTTTGCACAACCTGACAACCACTGAAGCTATAAAAATTGTCAAGTAAGTATTTTCTGTGGTGAATGCAAGAGAAAACTACAGAAAGCAGTCCTCTAAAAACAACTGACCTCTGCAAATGTTTTACTTTGAAAAGTCAAGGGTTCATAATGCTGGTGTGGGAGCAACGTAGCTTGCAATGGGCACTGAGTAACCTCTGCTGCTGGGAGCCTGGTTTCCACAGGTGAGGAAGGAGAGGAGGTGAGGTTGTGGTAGTGTTTCAGATTTTAGGAGCTCTCTAAACACAGACACAGAGCCTAGTTTTAGAAGAGACTGTTTATTCTTTGCAGGGTTTCCACAAATCAAGTACAAGTGGTAGAAAATTGTATCTTTTAGTCAGTAAAATGCACACCTACCTAATACATATTCTCTGCCTACTTAATGCATATTTATTTAGGCGGCATAGTCTTACTCAATGCTGGAAACACAAAGTTCTTTTCTTCATTAAGCAACTTCTACTGTAGAAGTTATCTGATGACATCAATTACATTTACAAAAGGTGAGAAAAGTCAGTTTGAAGACATCAATTCCTTTTGTAGAATTCAGCCTGGGGACAGATAATTCAGCCTTGAAGACAGCAATAGTAGCAGAACCCCATAGGGATCAAGTAGGAACCAATTAGTTTTAATATGCTTGCAGTAACTGAAACCTTCTTTTTCTATGGGCGTTCTGTTTATTTTTTAGTATCCCTTTACCTGATAAAAAGGTGTAGCAATTAATATTCTTTTAGCCTAACTCAAAATCCAAGGGGACAGCAGCACACAGGTCTGTGACACTGAACTCAGCAATAGTCAGGAAAAACCTCAGTGACAGATCCCTTCTGGAGCCACTGGAACAAATCTGTTAGGACATCTCTACTGCCACCGCAGGGACATCAGCAAGCAATGCCACAGCTCTGCAATGCTTGGCTACAGACATAAATGTGACATATGCAGGACGAGTCTGGATTTTTTTTTTTTTTTTTTTTTTTGTTAGCCTGGCACTGTGTCAGGAATTATAAACTCTACGTTTTTACAGAGAGAATCAGTTTAGGCTCAGAGCCATCCCAGGAACAGTGGTGCTACTTTACCAGCACCCAGTGCAAATCTGACACAGGTCATGGAATAGAATAGAATAATTTATATTGGAAAGGACCTCTAAGATCATTGAGCTCAATCTTTAAATCAGCACTGCCAAGTCCACCATTAAACTGTGCCCCGGAGTGCCAGAGCTACATGTCTCTTAAATATCTCCAGGGATGGTGACTCCACCACTTCCCTGAACAATCTAACCCAACACTTGACAACCCTTCCCATGAAGAAATTTCTCCTGATACCTAGTCTAAGCCTTGTCTGCAGCAGCTTGAGGCCATATCCTCTTGTCCTGTCACATGCTCCCTGGAAGTAGAGGCTGACCCCCACCTGGCTACACCCTCCTTACAGAGAGTTGTGAAGAGTGATAAGATCTGAGCCCCTGAGCCTCCTTTTCTCCGGGGTAAACAAACCCAGCTCCTTTAGCCACTCTCCATAAGACTTGTGCTCCAGCTCTTTTGCCTTTCTCTGGACTTGCTCCATCACCTCAATGTATTTCTTGTAGTGAAAGACCCAGAACCGGACACAGGATTTGAGGCATGGCCTCACCTGTGCTGAGTACAGGGGGATGATCCTGGCCCTGGGCCTGCTGGCCACACTATGGTGACATCTGTAAAGGGTTGCAGACAAACTTTACCCAGCAAACTCTGCATCCAGCCAATCATGGGCTGCTACTTCCTACAGGACAATGCTGTGGAAATGGTGTCAGAGGCTTTACTAAGGTCCAGGCAGGTGACAGCCACAGCCTTTCCCTCATCCACTGAGCTCCTTGCCAAAGCAGATCAGGTTGGTCAAGCAGGACCTGCCTTTCATGAGCTTATGCTGCTGTGCCTATGTCCTGCACATGCCATGTGATGGCTCTCAGGATGATCTTCTCCATGGCCTTCCCTGGCACCGAGATCAGACTGACAGGCCTGTAGTTCCCTGAATCCTCCTCCTGGCCCTTCTTGTAGACAGGTGTTGCAGTTGCTAACTTCTAGTCACCTGGGACCTCCCAAGTGAGCCAGGGCTTTTGGGAATGCTGGGAAGTGGCTCAATGAGCATTTCAACTGGCTCTCTCTGTGGTGGATCCCATCTGGCCCTAGACTTACACATGTCTAGAGGCTGTAGCAGGACAACTTACATTCAGATTCCTCCTTAACAAGTATCCAGCCAGTTAATTGCTAAAACACTTCTGATAGAGGATGTAAGCTGAAATGTCTCACCTTCATTGATTCCTATGGATTGCAAGGGCATGTCAGTCTGTTAATCAAAGGCAAAACCCTTGGCAGTAAGTGGGAAAACCAAAGGCACAGAGGAAACTCCCTCACACTAATTTCAGAGTTCTCCTTCAAATGATGCCTAAACTGCAGGAAGCAGTTTAAATAATCTCCTGTATTATTGGCTCCATCCACTGCTCCACTTCCTTCTGTGTCAGCTGTAAACTCATGTAAACCAACAGCCGACAATATTGTTTTTTGCTCTGTTGCAGAGACAGTACAGGGCTAGCAGCTAAGCTATGGTAAACTGAGTAAAATTTCTTTTTAAGAAGAAAAGAGATATGAAAATTACTGCAGCCACATTAGCTATGGAGAAGTCTTGAGGGAAGCTTAATGTTTTGTTTATGCCA